CTGATACCTTGGTTTTGGACTTCTCACCTCCAGAACTGTGAGAATGAGTTTACATTGTTTTAAGCCACCCAGTTTGTGGTACTTTATTCCAGCAGTCTTAGGAAACAAATACAACCTGTTACAAATATTTCTGGGTAATCTTGTCTCTCATGACCATATTTCACCTTCCTCTAACTTTTCTCTGGGGGCCCTTTGCTCCCCCTGTTCACTCAAAGAAAGCCCATACCATAAGGATATTTCTGGGACTCATTCTATTTAGCAGAGGCTGACAAATCACAACAAAAGAAGGAGGCAGATTTGAATGAATTGACATGGTAAGATCGCCAAGGCCTCCCAAAATGCCACCACCTAACAAGCATAGAGTATAATTTCATATATGTAAAAAACGTATATACACATACAGATGCATATATAACCACATACATACACATACACAGTATGTGTTGAGGTATGTAAATACATGTAAAAGAAAGGTCTGGAAGGAAACACACCAAAATAATAATGGTTACCTCTGAGAGTGATGGTACTGGGATCTCAGCAGAATGAATTTCATCTTTTATTCTATATCCTTCTGGAATATAGTACATGTACAATAAAAAAGTTTTGATGATTGAAAAAAAGTTTACAAAGATATAGTCCATTTACCAAACATCACACTCTGACCTCAGATAAATCAGTTCACTTAGAAAGGAGACTAGTAGATAAGAGCATGGAGTTGAGATTCAAACTGAGGATCTGCTTTCTACCTGATGGGTAACTTTGGGTATGTTATTAAGTTTCTCTGTGTTTTAGGTTCTTCTGTGAATCACGGACAGTGATACTGATAGAATCTGTATGTTGAGTCATTGTGAGGATTAAATGAGTTAACATACATAAAGTGCTTAGGTAAGTGCTGGACAATAGAACTGTTAGCTATTATTATACAAGAAAGCATAAAGAAGTTAAAAGTAGTCTCATCATTAGATATAGTCATATTAACATTTTGTTGCATATACTTCCAGTTTCTTTTTTTAAGCTTTTATAAAAGCTTTTTGCTAAACAGAAGTGAGATTTTGCCACCTCTTATCTCCCCCATTTAACTATATAGACAACATTTCTCTATAGCATTAACTCTTCTTTTCCATCATTTGTAAATGTTGCATTGTATTTCATTGTATTACAATCGTATGGATGTTCAATATTATACAAGTCCTCTACTCTTAGATGTTGAATTTCCCCTCTGTGTTTTATTTTTTATCTTTTATTTTTTTGTTATCATAGATAGTGCTGTGATGAACAAATGTTGTAGGGGGAAAAAATGGCCCATATATTTTCTACTTCCTCCAATCAAAAAGTAGCACCTATTTCTCCAACCTTGCATCTGGGCTTGACTCTCGAACTTGCTTTGCCCAATAGGGACATTAGCAAATGTGATGCAAGCAGAGACTTGAAAAATATTCATGTACTGGGCTTTACCCCATTTTTTTGTTGCTGGAATTTTGAGACTCTCATGTGAGAAAGCCTGGGCTAGCTGACTGGAGAAGGTGAGGCCACTCAGAGACAGAGCCCAGTCATCCCAGGTGAGGCCCAAACATGTAAATGGGGACATTCCACTAGATCACTCAGCTCCTGCTGAGCTGACCCAGACCTGAGGAACCACCCAATCAACAGAGAAAGTTATTATTTCACTGCACAGAGAAATAATAAATGTTTGCTATTTTAATCCACAAAATTTGGGTAAGTTTGTTAGGTAGCAAAAGCTAGTTGATATAGACATCCTGTGGATAATGACTATTTCCTGGAACACTTTCCTAGAATTAGACTTTCTGGGTGAAAGAATGTGTACATTTATACTTACTGATTCATGTTGCCAAAAAGCTTACATCAATTTATAAGCCACCAGCAATATATGAAAGTGATGATATTCCTCATCTTTGTTAACACTGAACATGAATGTTTCTTATCTTCATGACTGCATTATCCTTGTAAGTTTAACACATAATCCATTGTCCATTTCCTCTCAATTTACAATCAACGTAGAGAAAAGAAAAGATCACTCCTTTAGGAAAGAAGAGCAGAAAAGAGAGAGAAAATAATAGAATGAGAGAATAAAACAGGGTCAAAGAACATAAACACAGAGGAAAGAAAGTAGAATTATAGAATAGAGCAACCTCCAAGCCTCTTACGTACATAAGTACTTACCAGGTAGCCAGGAATAGTTATGAGCCTAATAAATGATTTGGGTCAAGAAAGAGGCATGGAAAGGACCTGTCCATTTAGGCCAAGCTTAGTGAAACTGAGAACACTGTAAAAGGAGGTACAGGGTAGTTCATATGTGGCTGTATTTCTCGCAGTAACTCTCTGAGATACAGATGATTATTTCCATTTTACAGATGAAGAAAACTGAGAGTCAGAGCTTTCAAGTAACTTGAACAAGAACATAGAGCTGATAAAGAATTGAGCCCAGATTTGAGTCCAGGTCTGTCTGCCTTGAAAATTGACATGTGTCCCCTTAGTCTTCCAGAGAGGACGTGGCAGATGACAAGCAACTACTCTTGGGAGGAAGTATACTCTTTTCATTCATATCACCAAACTGTTCTCCAGAAAGGAGCCAGAACGCTTGGGTGTGAATCTCCACTCTCTGCTAGTTACTGTGTGACTCTTAGCCTCTTCATGCCTCACTTTTCTTCATCTGCATAGTGGTTTCATAAAGCACTATGAGGATAAATACGTACGTAGATGTAAAGCACCTAGAACAGTGACTGGCACATGTGAAACTGCTGTATAAGCTTGCTATTTCCAGTATGGCATTGCAGCAGCCACGGGACTATTTTTTATGAGCCTGTTGCCAGGAAGTCCTTATATAGTAGCTTTGGTTACACTCACATGGTCATGTCTCAGTGGAATTCCCCGTAGGGGGAGACCAACCCTGCTGCACCCAGGCTTGGGGGAGATGGGGAAGAAGTAAGTGCTGTGGTGCCACGTTGTCATCAGAAAGAGCATGAACAACTCCAGAGACTTGTCCCAAATGGCCATGCCAAGACCTTGCTGCTGCAGACCCCAGTTTGCTGGATGTGAAAGCTCCTTGCTCAGGGAGCCCCACTAACCCAGAACTCATCTGCCTTCTCTACGATCTGGGAAGCAGAACAGCCTATCTCCAGCCTTTCAATTCTCATTTCTACCTATAGACTTTTAATAACAACGCTAACAGCAGCTGACATACTGAATGCCATTATGTGTCAGACACTGTCCTAAGAGGTACTATTCTTATTTCAATTGTACAAATGAGGAAATTCAGTCTGAACCCAGAATCTTTCATCCTAACTATGATGCTGTACTGGCTTCCTGTTTGAGAATATGCAATTTTGGGGTGGAAAATGCCAAAGAAAGCAGTCCAACATTTCTCAGCCTGATTCATTCATCATCCACCTTTTCTCAGCCACAGGAGCATTCCATGTGAGAACCATTTGCAACAAAATGTTTAAAAACTGAGGTAAGAGTCAAGAAGTGGGTTATGGATTTGCCACCACTCCAAGCTTTCTCAGGTCAAATTCATGCATTGCATTGAGGAAGGTGGAGCATGAGGCACTTTAAAAAAAAATGTAAAAGAAAACACTAGTAACTCTCCAGTGTAGCAGACTGCAACACCACCACGCCTGATTAAGGAATGACAATATGGAAGGCAGATGGCAAATGCATAGATGTCACATTATTGCTTTTCAGTGAAATATTGCTCGGGTTTTTTTTCTTCTTCTTCTTGTAAACCTCCCAAATAAAATGGTTTGCTTTCCTCAAGTTAGAAGTGTTAACACGTCTTTTCTTTAAATATATCTGTGGATGGCTGTTTTTTTCCCTGCCAGTTTGTCACCATCTGCAACCCTCCCTTTGTGAGATGATCGGATGACAACAGTCATCTTGGAGAGTAAAAGTGCAATCTTGGAGCAACATGGGAGAGCAGAGTCAGAGCGTGGGCTATGTGTGTGTGTGTTGTATACGTGTGTGACATGTGTTGGGCTGGGAACCTTGTGCATATACACATTGTGTGTGAGTAGGCAGTGTGTATATTCGGTGAGCATCTTGTGTGTATATGGACTGTGGACTGGTCTGGGTGCTTGCCTGTATACTTTGAGTCTATGTGCTTTCTGTGTAGATACCGTGTGAACAGCCTGTATGTGGGTCATCACCCTGCTGGCTCAAGAGGGGCTGTGCTCACTGCTCGGGAAGATGTTCTTCAACAGAGTATAATTTCTCAAAGGTGTTTAAAGGGGGTGGGGACGGCCTGCAATTTGGGTAACTGGGCCGAGAAATAGCAGCAAGGTTTGGGCCTCGGTCAAAGTATGGGTGGCTTGCGAAAGGGTGCTGCGGAGATGGGGAGTTGACCCTTCAGAGAAGCGGGGTCCCCCGCGGCTGCAACCGCTGAGGTGGCAGGTTCGCGCAGCTCAGCGGGGCGGGCGGCGGGCTCCGGGGAACTGAGGTCTGGGCGCCCAGGGCGCTCCTCCCCCTCCCCCACGGTCCCCACCTCCAGGCGCGGCGCCGCAGGGGGCGGGGGGCCCCGGCAGGCGGGGGCGGCGGCGGCCGAGCGAGGGGCTGCGCAGCGGCTGTGATGGCGGGCGGCGGCCGGGCCGGACCAGGGGCCGAGGCCGCGGCCTGGGCCAGGGCCAGCCGCTGGGAGCCCTAAGGTGCTGCCTGTCCCGACTCCACCATGAACGTCGCGCTGCAGGAGCTGGGCGGCGGCGGTAACGTGAGTGGGGGCTCCGAGGTCCTGGGCAGAGGCCCCCGGGGAGGGGAGAGCTGACGAGTAGGCGGCGTCTGGCAGAGGCTCCGGGCTCGAGGAACCGGGGGTGCGTCCTTGAGGGGCGGGGGTCGGAGGGACGCCGGACCGCAGAGCCGGGTCAGAAGGAAGGGGCCTTGCTGCAGGCGGGAGGGGGCCCGGCCGGGAGGGGCACTGGGGCACTGAGGCTGGGCCGTGGGCAAGCAGCCCAAACTGCCTGACCTGGGTTGGCGCCCCAACTGTCTGGCAGATGGTGGAGTACAAACGGGCCACGCTGCGGGATGAAGACGCACCGGAGACCCCCGTAGAGGGCGGGGCCTCCCCGGACGCTGTGGAGGTGGGCAAGGGGGTTCTCCCTTCCTCTCCAGGCCCCAGCCCTGCAGCTTTTGGCTGCCCTGGAGGGTCACCTGCCCCCACCTCCGCTCCAACTCTGGCTTATGCCCTAGGACTAAGCCATGACGTTGCATAAAACAGGCTCAGGACTCAACTCGGCCTGCCTCCGTGCCCCTGTGCCTAGAGCGAACCCCAGTAGCATCTTTGCTCCATGGTTTTGGAAACTGCCTGTGCCTTTCACCCTCTGGGAGGACTTCTGTGATCTTGGATCCCCCTACCCCTCTCCTGCAGCTTGCTAGCTCTCTCTCACCCTGTGTTCTCCAGGTGGGATTCCAGAAGAGGAGAAGACGCCTCTTAGGCTTGCACACCCAGCTGGAGCTGGTCTTGGCAGGTGTCTCTCTACTGCTGGCTGCACTGCTTCTGGGCAGCTTTGTGGCCCTAGGGGTCCAGTACCGCAGAGGTAGGTGGGGTCACACCTGCCACCAGCACTCCTAGCTGTGGGGACTCTGGAGGCTGAAGGGCCTCTAAGATACTCTCTGGTTGGGGCCACCTTTCCCCGGCTTTTTTCTCTCCTCCCACCCTTCCTGCTGTCACGGCCCCTCTCAAAGCATTTGCCTTTCCCAAACTGACTGACAGCCGTCACCCTTAGCCGTGTTCCCCGCCACAGACCCGTCCCACAGCACCTGCCTCACAGAGGCCTGCATTCGCGTGGCTGGAAAAATCCTGGAGACCCTTGACCGTGGGGTGAGCCCCTGCGAGGACTTTTACCAATTCTCCTGTGGAGGCTGGATTCGGAGGAACCCCCTGCCGGTCGGGCGTTCTCGCTGGAACACATTCAATAGTCTCTGGGACCAGAACCAGGCCATACTGAAGCACCTGCTTGGTGAGTGAGCCTGTCAGGGAGGCTTGTGCCAGGTACCTACCACATGCCTAGCATAAGGCTTGGCGCTTAGTAGGTACTTAGTAAAAGTCCACGAATAAATAAATAACTGGGTGACTGGGAACACCCCTGGGGTAAGGGTTTTAGAGAGCAAGGGGCGCCTGAGAGGTGAAGGTGGGTTTGAGGGAGGCAAACGTGTAAGGGTAATGGAGAGACTCCTATTTGCATTCTGTTTGTGAGGCTGCTGAGGTGGGGTGTGATGGGCACCGGGGAGACTTTTGTGCTTCGAGATCTCAGAGGGTCTTTATGGACAGGGCAGAGGAAGAAGCCACACTTGGCTGTCTTAGTCAGTCTTCCTGGGTCTACACTGAGGAATGCCCCTTGTTCAGAAAGCAAGAAGAAGGACCAAGTAAGGGCCCAGGAACCCTCTCAGCAGTCAGCCTAGTTGCCACCTAGACCTGTACTCTACTCCACAGAAAACGCCACCTTCAATTCCAGCAGTGAAGCTGAGTGGAAGACACAACGCTTCTACCTATCCTGCCTAAAGGTGGAGCGCATTGAGGAGCTGGGAGCTCAGCCGCTGCGAGATCTCATTGAAAAAGTAGAGCCCCTGGGCTGGCTGCGGGTGGGGAGAGCAGGACAGGACTTGGAAGAAGACGTGGCCCCCGGAAGCTTGGGGGGCCCATGTGTCATAGGTTCCACTATGGTTTCTACTCAGATCGGTGGCTGGAATGTTACGGGGCCCTGGGACCAGGACAATTTCATGGAGGTGCTGAAGGCAGTAGCAGGGACCTACAGGGCCACCCCCTTTTTCACCGTCTACATCAGTGCTGACTCCAAGAGTTCCAACAGCAATGTCATACAGGTACAGGGCTGGGGAAAGGTGGGGAGGGACTTGTGGACTATTTGTTGAGCCCAGACTCGCCGCCTCTATGACTCACAGGCTGGGGTGGCCCCCTGTCCAAGAGTCCAGGTTTGGGCGGGGGGAGGGGATGGGCTTAATCCTTTACCTTGCTATTGCAGGTGGACCAGTCTGGGCTCTTCCTACCCTCTCGAGATTATTACCTAAATAGGACAGCCAATGAAAAAGTAAGGAGCATCCTCAGAATCCCTACCTTTACCTCCTGTTGAGCTGGGCTGATCCCTATTTACTTTGCCTAGAGTCAGGGTGAAGAACTAAGGTGAGCCTGTCCTGTCACCTTTCTCCCTTCATTCTCCTTTCCTTCCTTCCCTCCCTTCCCTCCTTCCTTCCTTCCTTGCTCTTCTCCCAGGAAATCACTTTATAGGCCCCTACTGTGTGCCAGTGCAGTGGGGAAATTCTGAGAGGGACATTTCGCACTCACTAGAAACTTTCAGGGTGGATGGGCTCATGGACCTAGATATCTGAGAATAAGACTCAAAGAGGGCCCCTGGGACTCAGGAGAGACTCGGGTAGCCAGGGAAGGTTTTCTAATGAGATTACATTTGAGCCAGGCCCTGTAAAATATCTAGGGGTGGGCGATGGCATGCCGGGTAAAGAGAAGAGTTTAAACAAGTGTTGAAGAAGGAAAAGCTAAGGTATGTTTGGACCATGGGAAGGGGTGCACTTTGGCAAAATGTAAAGCTCAAAGCAGTGGAGAGGCTGGGAAGGTGGATAGAGTCTGGTTATGGAAAGGACCTGCAGTGGCACGCGGAGGAGTGTCTGTGTCGGCCATTGCATGCGCCAGAGCAGGGAGCCGGTGACCAGTGAACCGCGCTTTGGGAAGCAGCTGGGCTGGGGTGTGAAGAGTAGATATAAGAGAGGGATCAGGTAAGTAGATATCTTATCTACTTAACTTATCTACTTATGTCATAGTGGATATAAGTAGATATAACTGGAGAGTACTTCAAGCTCTGAGTCTGTAAGGATCCAAATGGGAGAAGTGGCAGAGGGAATGTTAAGAAGGGGAAGATGCAAGAGGCATTAAGTCTGAATCATGAATTGTTGGTGATTGGATGTTAGAAGAGGGGAGTGGAAGGAGGAAGAGGTGAAGCGAGTTGAGGCTATCAACCTGAATAATGGCAGAGTGGTGGGGTCCTTAGAAAATCAAGGCTGCTTGTAGGAGAACCAGCCTAGGACGCGTTAGGGCAGAAGAAACAATATGATGTCACAGGAAACGGGCAGACTTTGGACTCAGACCTTGATTCCAGTCCCGGCTCCGCAGCTTGGTGCAAGTTGATCAAGCTCTTGGAGGCCATTCCTCCATCTGTAAAGTGGGATCATATCAAGTACCTCATATGGCATTTGGGGATGGGGGCAGGATGCAGGCTTATGCTCCTCCGTGTGGCAGACACTCAGGGAGTGCGAGCTGCTAAATTTAGACACGCGAGTTTGAGGGACTTGGGCACCATCTCTAGGGAGAGGTCAGCAGGCAGCTGTGAAAGCTGGGTGTAGTCCTGGAGGGAGGACGAGCCTGGAGGGAGCTGTGGGCTTAAGGGCATCTCCTTAGAAACCGAGACAAAGGCTTTAGGAGAAATGAGAGAAAGGGGGAGAAAGAAATCCTTTGTTTTTTATTTTTTTAAGATTTTATTTATTTATTTTTAGAGAGAGGGAAAGGGAGGAAGAAAGAAGGAGAGAAACATCGATGTGCAAGAGATACATTGATTGGTTGCCTCTCACATGCCCCTAAGTGGGGACCTGGCCCTCATCCCAGGCGTGTGCCCTGACTGGGCATTGAACTGGCCACCTTTCAGTTTGCAGGCCAGCACTCCATCAGGGCAGAAATCCTTCTTTTTTTGAGGAGAGCTGGAGAAAAAGAGCCATAAAAGGAGGCTGCTATGGAGTTGGACACCCAGGAGAGTTGTTTATCTTTCTTTCATTCATTCTCAAACACAGAGCATTCTGCAGCCAGATCCTCTTCTAGGCCTGTGATGAGCAAGGCATTGCTACTGCCCTCTAAGTAGGGGAGAAGGCAGAAATCACTCAGTATATCCTGCTTACAGTTACTGGGACTGTTACAGAGGAGAAGCACGGCATTCTGAGAGTGAGTGGAACTGGCAGCCACCTAGTCTTAGGGTCACAGTAGACTTCAGTGAGGGAGAGGGTTCTAGTCAAAGGGAACGGCTAGTCTATGCGCAGGCTCTGAGGGGGCAAAGAGCTTGGCCCACTGATGGACTAGAGAGAAGAGCAGGAAGAGCGAGGGGCCCTTTTAGAGGTATATAGACTCCTATTGTACATGAACATTGTGGATTAAGTTTAGCATTTATCCCAAAAGAAATAAAAACTCAAATGTAGGGAGTGGTGGGAACAGATGTGTGGTTTTGACATCACCTGAGTCAGAGGAGGAGAGAATTTTGAGAATGCGAGAGAAAGCCACCTGGTCCGAGACTTGGGAAAAAGCAGGAGAAAGGCTCTTAGCATGCTGCTGGTTGTCATGGACAGGGAGTCTCCTGTGCCAGCCTCTGAGGGAAGCTGCAGCACAAAAGGTTCAGAAAGGATAAAAACAGGAGTAGCCCTGGTTGGCATGGCTCAGTTGGTTGAGCGTCATCCGGCAAAGCAAAGGGTTGTCTGCTTGATTCCCGGTCGGGGCACATGCCTAGGTTTCGGATTTGGTCCCCCGTCGGGGCACATACAGGAGGCAACTAATCAGTGTTTCTTTCTCACATTGATTTCTCTCTCCCTCTCTTTCCCTTCCTTTTTCTCTCTAAAATCAATAAGCATATCCTTGGGTGAGGATTTAAAAAACAACTTAGGAGTAAAGAAAGATTCAGGAAAGTATCAAAAGTCAAGCTGAAGGTAAGGAGGTAGGGAGAGGAAGGGGTAACTCAGGTGGGCAGCGTGAGGGTCAAGATCTCTGGTTGAACTAACCATCCCCCTTAGGAGCTGGGATGACTGAGATTGATACCCAAGCCTTTTCTTTTGACAGCAGCAGCAAGGAAAATGAGAGGTGGGGAAAGTGAGAAAATCTGAAGTATAGAAAATGGATATTAAGGGATCTAAAACTTCTCAGTAGAGTGGAAGAGGAGATGGCCTTTGGCGATTATAGGAGTTCAGGGTAGGGCTCCCGACTGAGGGTGAGGAGTGGCCCCTAGGAGGAGGGCCCCAGGGAGACAGTGCTAAGCAGTGCTGAGTCTGCCAAAGAAATGGTAAGCAGAAGTGGTGGCTGGAACAGACCTTCTCAGCCTTGGGAAGAAATCGTTGCTGGGCTCTGAGGATGACCTGGGGTTTTGACAGGTGCTTACTGCCTACCTGGACTACATGGAAGAGCTGGGAATTCTGCTGGGCGGACAGCCAGCCTCCACGCGGGAGCAGATGCGGCAGGTGCTAGAGCTAGAGATACAACTGGCCAACATCACAGTGCCCCAGGACCAGCGGCGGGATGAGGAGAAGATCTATCACAAGATGAGCATCGCAGAGCTGCAGGTGGGGCCAGTGGGGAAGAGAAAGAGCCGGGAGGGGCCTGCCCCTGGCAGAGACTGCTCAGCTTTTCTTCCGGCTTCAGGTCATCTTCCTGAGGCGGTCAATCCTTTTTTCTTTTCTTTTCTTTTCTTTTAAGTTTTTAATTCTCACCTGAGGATATTTTTTTTCCCATTGCTTTTAGAGAGACAGGAAGGTATGGGGGGGTAAGGGGAGAGATCAGGGCAGTAATTCTTTTTAAAAAGATTTTATATATATTTATTTTTAGAGAGCTGGGAAGGGAGAGAGAGAAACATTCACGTTTGAGAGATACATTGACCGGGGTGCCTCTTGCACGCCCCCTGGGGACCTGACCTGCAACCCAGCCATGTGCCCCGGTGGGGGATTGAACCAGCGATGTTTTGATTTACAGGCTGGTGCCCAGTCCACTGATCCACACCAGCCAGGGCAACAATTCCTCTTTTTTCATTTCCTTGCTTTTCTGAGCTGCATAGTTGCTCTCCTGGAAAGAAAAGTGGTGTCCATTTTAGGCTACCTTTTATGTTGCCTGGGCATGCATAGAGAGATTAAGTAAAAAACCTGTAACAACTTGTACAAGATAGTCACAAAATAATCAGAAAAGATATGGAAGCATCTCCTATAGGGCCCTTACTGTGTCAGGCATCAACCCTTTAGTTGTTGGATTACAGAGAGGTTGGGTGAGGGGGTTCTGGAGGAGAGGCCAGGTACGTGGGGATGCTGGGTGGTGTCAGAGGAATGGTGTATTATTAACTGTTATGAAAATCTGTGAATGTCTGTGCCCCAGCTGAATATCACGTTGGGGGTTTTCCTTGTATAAGTGATGTCTGGGCTCCCAGATTGAGGGGCACTCAGGTCTGGAAGAGGGTTTATTGAAGGAAGGGGCCATAAAGCAACTAGTAATTGTTACCTTGACAACGGGAAGCTAGGCTCTAACATATCAATGGGCGAAGGGCCTGCTGAAAGACAGGTGGGCAAGCAGGGAGGCTTGAGATTTTTATTTTTGCTCCCAGGCCCTGGCGCCTTCCATGGACTGGCTGGAGTTCCTGTCTTTCCTGCTGTCACCGCTGGAGTTGAGTGACTCTGAGCCTGTGGTGGTGTATGGGACAGATTATTTGCAGCAGGTGTCAGAGCTCATCAACCAAACGGAGCCAAGGTATGGGGGACGGGGCTCAGGACTCTGTGCAGGTCCCAGGCAGGAAATAAGCCTAGGGAAATGGCACAGCCAGATGCAGAAGGCTTTGACAAGGCCCTGGACATTCCAAACATTAAAACACAATGTCTGCGGGCTACTCCCCTAGCCAGGGCTTCTGGGGGTTTGTTTACTTGTGATCTGCATCCCCGCTCCAACCTGACTTCTATAGGCAGGCATGTGGTCCCAGGGGGAGAGAGAGGGATTCTGGGACAGCTCCCACAGATGCCTCTCAGGATTCCTGCTGCCTGCACGTTCATGGAGCTGGTTTGGGTGGACATGCTAACCGACCTGCCCTTTATGTTCTGGTCCGGATGCTAGCGTCCTGAACAATTACCTGATCTGGAACCTGGTGCAGAAGACATCCTCAAGCCTGGACCGACGCTTTGAGTCTGCGCAAGAGAAACTGCTGGAGACCCTCTATGGCACCAAAAAGGTGGGCTCTCTTTCTCTGCCTTCCCTTTGTGGTGCGGTTTAGACGATGCATCACACCTACTGTGTGTCAGGCACCAGTTGCCTCATGGTGTAGTATAGATCTCAGGGCTAGGAATCAAGCTCACTTGGGTTAACCCCCTCACGCCTCCATTTAGCAGCCTATGGACCTTGGTCATGCATGTCACCTAGCCTCTTTGAATCCCCATTTTCTGGTCTGTAAAACAGGACTATATTGCAGGGTTGTTATGAAGACTAACTGAGTTAATTAAGTGAAGCACCTACCTAGTGCATAAGCAGCACTTGGCTTTCATGAAGATAGTGATGAGGATGAGTACAGAAATGCAGTCCTTAGTTTCAAGATACCCTGTTAAGTGGGGAAAGTAGACATGTAAATGAACATATTATATTTAGGGGTGATGAGAGCTCACTCTGAGTGAAAGACCTTCTTCGTGTTGTAGGACAGAGGTGGGGCCAGCACATTCTACCTGGGGGGATGGGGACATCAGGAAAGGCTTCTCTGAAGAGGTGACATTTGAAGAATGAGTTCACCAAGAAAACAAGGGAAGGGCAGTCCAGGCAGAAGGAACAGGATGTGCAAATCCCCAGAGGCCAGAGGGAGCATGGTGGGTTTGCATGTGTTCTGGTATGAGCTTGAGAACAGGGCACCTGAGAGGCTGAGGGCGGTGAGGCGGGCCTGGGGCAATCCATGAAGGGACCTGAGCGTCGTGTTAGGAAGTCTGGCATTAATTCTTCCGGGGATGGGGCACCATGGGATGGTTTTAAGGAGAGGGGTAACCCAGTGAGATTTATGTATTAGGTCATCTTTCTGGCAGCTACATGGAAGATGGAGGGGAGGGGGTGAGAACGGAGTTGGAGTGTCCAGTTAGGAGAACACTGGAACCTTCAGGCACAAGATGATAGTGGTATAGGTCAGGGAAGTGGCAACAGGTGATGGGAGAGACAATTATGAGGTAGAATTTGTAGAAACTGGTGATACATTGATTGTGGGGGTAGGGCGATAGAGGAAGCTGGTGACTGGAAGATTTCTGGCATGGGGCACAGACTGGGATGTGGAGCTGAGCAAAGAAATGTCTGGACCCCAGTGGGCCTCTTAGGAACTTAAGAGAAGGAGAGTGCCAGGAACAGAGTGGGCAGCACACCTGTTCCTCCTGAGGCCTCTCTCCTGAGGCTGGCGCGCTTTGTGGTGGTGCCCCTTTTTGTCCTTGGAGACTGAGGGAGCGATGGCACACCAAACCAGGGCCTCCGCTGTGCAGACCTGAGAGGCGCTGGCCCCAGAGGCAGAGAAAGGCCCTCGCCTGGAGGGCAGAGCTCTCTCTGGGAGGCCTGGCTCTTTGTCCCTTACAGTCCTGCGTGCCAAGGTGGCAGACCTGCATCTCCAACACAGATGACGCTCTTGGCTTCGCTTTGGGCTCCCTTTTTGTCAAGGCCACATTTGACCGGCAAAGCAAGGAAATTGTGAGTCTTCAAGGTTCTTCCAACACTATCCCTTGTTTTAGTTAAAATTCGCTGTTCATATTTGTGAGTACATATAGGAAAAAAAGACTGGAAGGAAATTTACTAACAAATAAATAGTGATTACTTTGGGTGTGGGGATTATGACAGATTCTTTTGCCCTTTAAAGTTCTCTGCATTTTCCAAATTTTTTGCAATGAGTTTATGTTACCTGTTTAATTAGAAAAACAATATTTACTTATTTGGAAGTGGTAATGAATGTGCCTAAAGTATTATCTACAAGAATGTTTATGGAAGTGTTGTTTATAATAGGAGAGAATGAAAACAGCTTAAATGTCTAATCATAGGGGAATGGAAAAATAAGCTGTGGTTAGGATGAACTGTGAGGCAGCCTTAAAACTGATGATATCTGTTTAAGTGAAAAAAAGTAAGTAACCATAATATATATGAGACACAATATAATTCCATTACATGTATCTTTATCTATATCTATCTCCAGGCAGGGTAAGATACTAAATAGTCAAATGATAAATGAAGTTGTCTCTGAGTGAGGGATTATAAGTGGTCTATTGTTTCCTTCAGTTATTCTCAGTTTTCCAAATTTTCTGCTATTAATGCCTTTCCTTTGTAATCAGATAAAAATCAATGCACCATATTAAATTATAATACTAATTCAATTAAATTGTCAATTAAAATTTTTGATTAATTAGAAAAAAAGCCACTCACAATCCCAGTACCTTCACAAATCTTGTTTCCTTCTCATCCTCCCCAGATGCTCAGCCTTAATTCAAGAATTTGGGCACCCTCACATGTCCCTGGAACAACAGGGATGGGACAATGGGGTGGACAGGGGATAAAGGATTAATGTGAGTGGAAGGCAGACTTGTGCCCCTTCCCTCCCAGGCAGAGGGGATGATTAGCGAGATCCGAACTGCCTTTGAGGAGGCCCTGGGACAGTTGGTTTGGATGGATGAAAAGACCCGCCAGGCAGCCAAGGAGAAAGTGAGCTGTGGGCAGGGTTGGGGCGCCATCTTGAGGTGGGGGTGGAGGATACAGCTTTTTTTGGACACGGGAGGGAAATCCTTAACATGGTCTGTTTAGGCAGACGCCATCTATGATATGATCGGTTTCCCGGACTTCATCCTGGAGCCTAAAGAGCTGGATGATGTTTATGATGGGGTGAGTACCTCTGCTCACCAGTTTTGAACTTCATCCCCATTGAGGGGGACACTATTCTCTGGGTTCATTAATAGGACCTCAAGCACTAGGAGGGGAGGAGGTGCTTGTTGGTTTCTTTTAGAGGCAATGTAGGCAGCCTGCTGCATATGCTCAAGCGCTAGCTCTGTGCAAGGGAGCATATCAGATGTTAGTAGAGTGGATGTTAACCAGCAGGAATTTGCAATCAAACCTGAGTCAAACCCTGTTTCTACCTCTACCTAACTGTGTAACCTTGGGCAAGTTATATAACTTCTCTGAGCCTCAGTTTCTGCATCTGTAAAATGGGGTTTTCTTAGTACCTATCTCATAGGGTTGTTGTGAGAATAAAAGGAGGCAATATTAAAAAAGAGAGAGAGAGAGAGAGAGAGAACCTGCTTTGTAAGTGCTCTTCAAGTGTGTGTTGGTGATTATCATTCACTAGATATTTTACTCCTCTTTTACAGTTGAGAAACCTGAGGCTCAGAGGGGTGCTATTTAGTAGCGAAACTGGGACTATTACCTTCTCCAACATATTCTCTTGCTTGCTTTCTACTTCCCACCATAGTATGAAGTCTCTGAAGACTCCTTCTTCCAGAACATGTTGAATTTGTACAACTTCTCTGCTAAAGTGATGGCTGACCAGCTCCGAAAGCCTCCCAGCCGGGACCAGTGAGAGTGGAGGGCTGCAGACATTTGGGGCAGCGAGAGGCAGGGGAGGTTTCCAGGGTTTGGAGGGCGGGTGGGCAAGGCTGATCCCAAGCCAGTGGTCCAAGGTCCTTGAAGGAGGTAGGTCAAGGCCGCTGGGCTAGGAGGAGCATCAGGAGAGTCAAGAGACTAAGCCTCTCCCCCTCCCTCCCTCAGATGGAGCATGACCCCCCAGACAGTGAATGCCTACTACCTTCCGACCAAGAATGAAATCGTCTTCCCTGCCGGCATCCTGCAGGCTCCCTTCTATGCCCGCAACCACCCCAAGTGTGTCTGAGGCAGGAGGGGCTGGGAGTTGGAGCCTGGACCTATGGGTGGGCTGGGAACAGGGCTGGAGGTGGGACCCAAAAGTCCCCCTACCATGTCTTCACTCAGCATTCCTTACCCACCAGGGCCCTGAACTTTGGTGGCATCGGCGTGGTGATGGGCCACGAGTTGACACATGCCTTTGATGACCAAGGTAGAGGCCCACGACGTTGTTCCCTCCAGCCTAGAATTCCCAGTGGCTCCTGCAAGGCCTCGGGATATTGGGAGCAGACCAGCGGGACCCTGGTTGGGGGAGCTCCTGACCCCAAGGGTTGTGCTTTAGCCTCAGTGGGGTGCAAAGGTTCATTCTCCTCAGGGCGTGAGTATGACAAGGAAGGGAACCTGCGGCCATGGTGGCAGAATGAGTCACTGGCAGCCTTCCGGAATCACACGGCCTGCATGGAGGAGCAGTACAGCCAGTACCGGGTCAATGGGGAGAAACTCAATGGTCGCCAGACGCTGGGAGAGAACATTGCAGACAATGGAGGGCTTAAGGCTGCCTACAATGTGAGTGGCCTAGCCAGCCCTCCAGTGGCTGAGGTCCTCTGGCCCCGGGGGGGAAGAGTGCTGGGTGGAGGTGGTGGGTAGGCCGTGGTGGACTCACCGCTCCTGTGCCCAACCCCAGGCTTACAAAGCGTGGCTGAGGACGCACGGGGAAGAGCAGCAGCTGCCAGCTGTGGGGCTCACCAACCACCAGCTCTTCTTTGTGGGATTTGCCCAGGTATTGCCCTCCTGGGAGGCCTGGGGTCTGCTCCTCTCCCACTCCCTCCCGGGTGTGTCATTAGAAGTCTGAGGAGTGAAGGAAAGGGACTGGGAAGTGGGGCCAAAGTTGGTGTGCGGAAAGTGGTCTGGGGAGGCCTTATACCCAGAGCCGCTGGGCTTGGGCTCGCCAAAGCAACGAGAGGAAGCCTGAGGAAGAAAAGCCTTCAGGAGGCTTTTGCCGATCTCAAAGGGCAGGGCTGCCCGGTTTCAGAGGGAGTGGGTGGGGAGCAGGGTTGATCCTCACCATATTGCTGTGAGGTGACTGTGGAGGAGGAAACTAAAGCTCAGGGACAAAGTGGCTCATCCAGGGCTACCCAGGAATAAAGTAAGTGGTAGAGTGTGACTCACGCAGGGTCTCTTCTAAGTACTTGACACTACAGCAGGCAGCTCCTGGGCGGTGGGCTTTCCCCCTCAGATACGTGGATCCTGGGCAGCCCTATTTCCAGAGCAGCTTTGAAAGGCCTTCGAAGAATTTGGGAGGGAGGGTGCAGTCCCCTCCTGCAGTGCTGATAGCAGAGAGTTGGGGCTCAGATGCTGACTGGGCCCTTGCCTGTGTCCCTGGGGCTGCCTGAGCTGAGGGACAAGGCTGCTGATGGTTCGTGTCTCTGGGATGTCTCTGCTGCAGTCCAGCCTGTGACCCTGCTCGCATTAGACACCACATGTCCCCATGTCTGTCCTGACCCACAGGTGTGGTGCTCGGTCCGCACACCCGAGAGCTCTCACGAGGGGCTGGTGACCGACCCCCACAGCCCTGCCCGTTTCCGCGTGCTGGGCACTCTCTCCAACTCCCGAGACTTCCTGAGGCACTTCGGCTGCCCTGTCGGCTCCCCCATGAACCCAGGGCAGCTGTGTGAAGTGTGGTAGACCTGGGTCCGGGGAGAAATGGCCAGCTGTTGCTAGGGCCTGGGGCAGCTCGCCCAGCTAGGCTGTTTGCTCTGGGGTTTGGAAAAGGCAAATGCCGGCTAGACTGGGTCCAGCCTCTCCACGCCACAGGTGACATGAGTCCCAGTCCCTGCTCAACCACCACATTGTGCCTCTGCTGTGGGGGTGCCCCTGCCTCCAGCAGAGCTCCCATCATTCACTGTGACATCCTTCCATGTCACCTTGCCTAAAAGGAGGCCTGGGCCGGGGGTACCAGCTCCACGAAAGGAGTCAGCCTTTCTAGCCCGAAGCTTACTTGGCTCGGTGGCCATGGGGTCGGCTGTGCCTGCCGTACTCTGACAATGCAGGGCCTGGGTGGTGTGCCTTCTGTGCTCCTCTGGAGGCTCACACAGTTCTCCCTTGGGAGTGCACTCGGTTCCTTTCAGCACCACCCTCAGGGGCTCCCTCCGCCTCATGCTCCTCATACTGCTGCTTTTCATACCGCCGCCAGCCCTCACTGACAGACGGACTGTGCTCAGCTCTTAGTGGAGGCCTGAGGGCCCTTACAAACCTTGCTGTTGCCTCCCAGTTTCCCTGGGCTCAGAGTGGAAATGTGTATGCATAGGGGATGCTAGTTCCTGTGTCTTGAGGCACAGCTCTTGGGGTGGGGGTATTGACTCTCTCTGGAATAAGCAGGAAAGCAGATAGAATAGGGAGAGGGAAGGACAGAGTTTATTTTTACAGGGAAGAGGGTGGGGAAGGTGTGGTCTTGGCCCTGTAGGACCCTTTGCCAATAAATAGACACACATCAGTCAGCCTGTCTCTTCCTTCAGTCCTGTTTTCATTTATTCATTTGCTCATTCCAACAATACTTGTTGAGCACCTACTGTATGCCAAGTACTCTTGTAGACACTCATTAACTCACTCACTAGAAACGCGGGACTGAGATTTAAAACCCCAAGAAGACAGAGAAAGAGAGACAGGATGGAGGAATGGAATGAAGCTGGGTCTGACTGGGCGGAGTACATCCTCTGCCCACTGGTGGCCATATCCCCATTGCCAGCTGTTCTGCAGCTGGAAGGATTTGCCATGGCCCTCTCCCGATGCATGCAGATGGGCCGGCCACTGAGTCTGGGTGACTGCTGGCCCAGGGTCAACTTGAAAGATGGGTGGCCCTCACCCTTCAATGGAGGGAAGCCATGGCCAAGGTAGCACGCCATTCCCAGGAGCTCAGAGCACCGGCCTCTGCTTGTGGCCGAAAAGACATGCATTTCCCCATGCCCTCCAAGGCTCAGTGCGCCTGAGAGTCACTCACCTCACCTACATACACTCATCAAGGCCTACCAGGTGCCAGGCACAGAGAATGCAGCTATGGCTGACACCCTCCAGAGTGAAGGAGGGAAAGCAGCCTTTATTGAAAGCTTCTTGTGTTCCAGGCACCTCTGCTAGGCGGCTCATTTCTTTATTCATTCATTTATTAGTTTACACATTCATGGACATATTTTAAAAAATGCATTGATTGCCAACAATGTGCCAGGCACTGGTGATGCAAAGACGAATGAGATAGTTCCTTCCCTCAAGTGACTCTTCTATTGGCACTTTCACCTTCATGAGTGCATCTAATCCTCATAGCAACATGTTTTATAAAACCTCCAGTTTCCATTTTACAGATAAAACCCTAACCATGTCACTGAAGTCAAAGAGGCCTGGATCGAAATTGAAGCTCTGATAGTTGTATGAACTGAAACCTGTTCCTTAACCTCTATGAGCCTCAGTTTCTTCATTTGTAAAATGAGAACTAGAGCAAAACAGTGGAAAGAGCCCAGTTTCAATTCATTTTAAAAGTGTTCCCCAAGGTGGGAGTGGGCTTGGTGAGTTTGGAAGGGTGAGAATGAAGTTTTGCCAGTGATTGGTGCTGGGGCCCTGGTCCCTGAGTGATGGCCTTAGCATGTGTCCCACGGTTTGTATCTTGCTCCAACACCAGGCTGTCCCCATAAAGAGCTACATTTGGGGCCCTGTCAAGTAACTTGGAAATGCTGGTTGTCCACCAAAAGAATGTGAGCTCCTCAGAAGGGAGCAAGAGGCCTTGGGAACTCTTTAAGACCAAGCGTCGGCATGGCTTGAGCCTCTTGGAGCTTCTAGGAGGGATAGCAAAATGTACCAGAAAGAGCAGGGCAATCACATCTGGAAACCAGGTTCTGGCTCCAGCTCTGCTACCCCTAAATGTGTGACCCTAGGCATGGCTCATCCCCTTTTTAGGCCTCAGCATCCTTAGCAGTCTGTAAAATAACTGGTTTGGATGAGATGGTGTCTGAGGATCAATTCAGCTTTAATATTTTAAAAAGGAATACATGGACTTAGCAAATTCCAGAACCCAAAGAAATATTAAGAAATGACGTGAAGTTTGGGTGTTGCACAGAGGATGAGATTTGTAATGTCAGAGAGCGTAATGAGTGAGGAGAGGCTTGGTAGCATAAAGCCTTGTCCTTGCCATCTGATTTCTCAGGCCAACTTAGGGTGTTGACCAGCTGGCCACTGTGATGTAGAAACTCCATATTTGCAAAAAAGTCAAAATAATAATAAGCTTTCCTTTACTGAGTCACTATTTTGTTTATACCTGTAATAAGCACTTTAAAAACATCATCTCATTAAATTCCCACAATTTGTAAGGAGGTTCTCTCATCTCTGACTTTTTAAAAAAAGATTTTAGTCCTGGCTGGTGTGCCTCAGTGGATGCTGGCCTGAGCACCAACGGGTCGCTGGTTCGATTCCCAGGCAGGGTACATGGCCAGGTCTGCAATTGGGGGCATGCAAGAGGCAACCATACACTGATGTTTCTCTCCCTCTCTCCCTCTCTTCCCCACCCTCTCTAAAAATAAATGAATAAAATCTAAAAATAAAAAAAACTACACACTGCTTATAAAAATATCTTAAAAAAAGATTTTATTTTCAGTGAGAGGAGAAGAGAAGGAGGAAGAGAGGGAGAGAAACAACTGGTTGCCTCTTTTTCGCCCCCAAATGGGGACCTGACCCGCAACCCAGGCATGTGCCCCGACAAGGAATCAAACTGGTGACTTTTCGGCTCACAGGCTGGTGCTCAGTCCACTGAGCCACACCAGCCTGGGCATTTATCATCTCTGCTTTAAAAGGGGAGAAACTAAGAGAAAAGATCACATAATTTCCAATATTAGATAAGTCAGACTGCATTAAAATAATATTTGGAACTCAGATGCTCTTAATCATCACCATTTAGTCTTCTAAGTCATGAGAGAGTTTAGACTCAAGCACAGATATTTGTCTTCTGGGCAATTTCATCATACTTCTATCTGAGGCCATCACCAGCAGGTGCTTTTCCATGCTATCCAGCTTCCTTCCTTGGGCCAGGTTCATGTGACAACCAGGCAGCTGCAGGAAACCTAGGCACATGTTGAGTTGGAATTAAGCCAGGTAGCACCTGTTTGCTGAGCATTCTGCAGGTGCTTGGTTCCAGAGGCAAGGCGAGGCAAACATCAGGTAACAGATCTTCACAGTTAGTAGCCTCGCCATGCTGATGAACATATATCTGTGACATGCACTGGTGGGTTAAGGCAGAAGGGGATTAAAGGATGGTACTTCTGAGTGGACACGAGAGCAATTACTGGTAAGGTGCTGGGATATACCCTACACTGTCTCATTGGGAAGTGTGACTAATTCCCATGCATAACTAGGTAACATATGTCGAACAATATAATTTCACACTTGGAAGCATGCTGGAAATATCAGGTCAGAAGAGAGTCCCTTATAAAATAAGCACAGTTTCACTGGACCTATCATGATTCATAAATGGAGAATCTGGACAGTTTTCCCAGGCCATTATTATACATAAAGATGACCTGAAGGTGAATGCAAAGCCACCCATCCATCCATTCATTCATTCATTCAGGAAATATTTGTCAAGGCCTACCACAAGTCAGGTATTAGGTTGGGTGCTATGGACATAAAGATGAAGAAGCAGCAGTTCTGTCCCCCAAGAGCTCAGAGTCTCAGGAGGAAGAGGTATGTATCAAGCATGGTATGAGTACAGGGAAGAAATGAGTCACTTGAAGGGGAGAACAGAAAAACTGTCCCAGACAGGAAATGCTGAGCTGGAACGCAGAGGACGGGAAAATTTGCTAGCTGAAAACAGTGAAGGGCATTCCATACAGAAGGAATAGCAACCTGAAAAGGCTGATCAGCTTGAAGGGCAGGGCATGTTTAGAAATGGTGAAATGTTTAGGATGATCAGAAGGGGTAGGTGAAAGGGGTATAATGAGAGGTGAGAGTCTGCAGAAGTTATGGTATGAAAAGAGGGGATTGTAAATCTGCCATCTTGGGAATTAACTGCAACAGGGTCATAGGGCAATCTGTTTGGAAAATATCACACAAAGAAAATAGCAGTCTCTTGGTAACAGTGCAATGCTGTGTCCAGCCAGGAGCACTTCTAGTGTTAGTTAAGTGATGCGCTGGCTTGAATGGTCCTCCAACGAATAGAGCCATCCATGAGATGGGTAGCTCTACATTCGAGGCCATGAGTTTGAGGGCAGTATGGCAGGCTTGTGGATGCATTTTGAAGGAAGGTGGTAGTAAGGGACAAGTGATGGGCTGGCTTTGATTGGAGAGCAGTTCGGCCACAAGGCTGGGAATTTGGCCAAATGGTAGAACGGAGTGCTTCTAGGAAGGTAATCTGACGAAGTGAAGTTTGAGGCAGGACATCAATGTTATCGTGAGGCCTTGAAACGACTGTCAAATATTTGCATTTGGCTAGAGAGGCTTGGGGGCTTAAGTGCTTGGAGGTGGGAGCAGGGAACAAGAAGGGTTACCTCAGCCCTGCAGATTTCAGGTAGTTTGAAAATGACAACTCCCTGCTTTCCGGCTGCCAGGTACCTAGCCAAACACTTTGTATATATTGTCTTATATCATTCTCATAACAACTTATGAGGCAAATACGTCATTACCCACATTACGTAGAAGCAGAAACCAGGCTCAGAGAGGTTAGAAAACACTCCCAGTTGTCACAACTAGTGAAGGAGAGAATTTGGCTTTAAATACCAGGTTGGCTGCTCTTTAAAGCTTACCTTTTCCCACTCACCCCCAACTTCTGACACATTTCAGGCCTACCAAAAAGTTAAACATAGTACACAACAAACATTCATACACTCTTTATCTGGAGTCACCAGCTGTTAAAAACCTGTGTTTAACTCACCCCATCTCCTCTAAGACGAGATATGACTGGTATACAAGACAAAAATCCGAGCTCTGATAGAAGTCATGGAAAAACAAGAGATTTAGGAGAAATTCCTTTACAGATGACTGAAAAAAGAGACGGGCAATGTATGGACAACTTGATGTCAGAGATAGTATAGTCAGAACAGCTACCGGGTGCCCAATTTCTGTCAACAGACCATGGCTGGGGGAGTCATTGGCCATGGAAATGCAAAGTCATCCCCAGAATCATCGTACAGAGTAGGAAAGAGCAACAGGTTTTAAAAGACCTTTACACCTGTATTTACACACATATTCAGCCAACATTCATTCAGTGTTAACCATGCTGTGCTAGTGTTTCTGTCTATTTAAACAAAGTTTCTGTGTTCTTTAATGCCCTAGAACCCATAAAATGAGACACTAGGCCAAATGGCGAGTGTTCTCACCAGATGAAAGGGAGAAGAATTACTTCCTCTTTTCTTACCTTGTAGATACATACACACAGCCCAAACTGAAGAAGAGCTTTTGGAGTTTGAAACAGTCAAGAGCTTGGAAGAC